ATTACATTTCCTGAGAAAAGTGCATTTATTCAGGGTGTAGGTGGGGTGCATTAATTCTCTCCAATTAATGTATATGCTATAGGTCAAAAGGTTAGGGTCACCCTCTAGATTTAATAATTAGAATGTTTCATGTCTTCTTTGGTTTAATTAACTCTTTAAGCTAGGATCCTAGAGGGAGTTACCTAAAATTTTAAATCCACCAGCCATGAGATTAACATTAACCAACAAGAAAGATTTGATAAGAAAGCTAACATTTTAAGGTAACTTTATGCAGTAATTGGTTAATTATCTTCTTCTTCTTCTTCTTCTTCTTCTTATTATTATTATTATTATTATTATTATTATTAACAAATAAACAACAATATGTTAAAAGCCTTCAAGAAGAGAAAGTCCCTCTGGCCCAGTGTGAGTTAGTAAATTAGTTTTTGTAAAAGGCATGAAACCTTCAATTTTGGAGCAATTCTTTGAAAATCCAGTGGATGGCCCCAAACTTTTGGCCTATAGTGTATATATGATTCCTTTAATAAAAACTTATTTAGTCTGAAGAAATCCTTTTGAAGCTAGTAAAATGCAAGTGGTTAGTGAGAGGGAGGAAACAGTGATAGTAATGAGAAGATTCAAGGAAATAGGACATTATAATTGACATTATATTTAAATTTTTGATCATCATATTTGGCAAAAAACAAAAGCTGGAAGAGAGTTTCACAAGTGAAAGTGTGACAGAAGATGTTATAAGAATAGAACTTAATGCTATATCTAGCAATTTCAACAGTTACATGTTGAGACTTAACTGTCAATCTAGTAGTTAAATTTGTGAAGTCAAATACCAAAGCAGAAAGCTAATTAGGACAATTTCCATGATAATATATATAGAAAAGACACAGGGAAGTTACATTATGGTGATGGGAAACTGATCAAAGCCAAAATGCTAGGTCAGGACTGATACTAATTATAAGTATTATGTCTTTAATACTAATTCTAATTTTGTTTTTACTACTATTTTTAAAGTTTTTTTTACTACTATTTTTATTTTTAATTTTCATAATTAAGTTAACTTAAATAATTGAAATTAAATAGACTGGCAAAGTTCTTCACAAAAATTTTCATTTCTTGCACTTCTCACCTGTAGAACTCTCTTCTGTCTTCTTTCTTCCCAGCCAACTTAAAAAAATTAAATGCAATGTCAGTTGTTACCTACTGCCTTCTTCATCCTTCTTCTCTTTGTGGACTTATCTCAATGAGAATCTTTTTTTTAAGGCAAATCACCCCAAGCAAGGCAGGGAGTGCCACTAGCATGCAAGGGGTTACAGAACAAGAGTAAAGAGGCGTGTTTGAGGAAAGGATACACATAAGGACAGGAACAAACTCAGGGTGTCAGTTGTTGATTAACATTACACTTGAATACTTGAAGATTATAGTCATCAGGGAAGTAAGTAAGGGAAGGGAGTTCCACAGACTGGAAGTGCAGGAGAAGAAGCTGTTTGAGAAGAAGAGACGGTTAGATTTAACCATTTTGACAGTGAAAGGGTGGGACCAAGATGCCAGTCTGGCAGCTTGTTTAAATTCATGTAGTCCAGGAACCAGTGAAAGTAGCATGTCAGAATAGTTGCCATGAAAATATTTGTAGAAAAGATAGAGAGGCCACAGTACATCTGTGGGATAGCGATTGTAGACTAGATGCCAGATCTGGACCTATCATCTTATATATTTATCTCTGGATTTCATCAAGGACTTTGAAACGTACAGCAGAAGCAACAGACCATATATGACAGCAATATTCCAAGGACGGATGGCTGATTTATATCTATCAGGAAGATGGATAGGGAATGCCAGGGATAATGACGAAGTGCTGTTGAAATGGCCACCACATTCAACTGATCTGACACCTTGTCATTTTTTTTATGGGGCTATGTGAAAGAATAGGTCTATATCTCCTCTCTTTCTACAAGCCAAGAAGAACTTAAGCAGAGAATCACTGAGGTGCTGGAAAATGTTACAAGACATGCTACAGTGTATTTGGCAGGAGCTGGACTACTGACTTGACGTGTGTCCTGTCACAGGCAGTGTTCATATTGAACATTTGTTAAGCTTTGTGAAATCGGTTATAAAATCTACATCACTTTGAATCTCTTGTTTGAATTTTTTGATAAATAAATATTTTATTGTTCAACATGAAATCTACTTAATTTTGTTTGCTTGGGACGTGTAGTTACTCATATATTCCTATTTTAAATGATGTCAATTTTTGGGAGACACCCTGTATATTATATATATGTATATGTTATATATACATATATATTATACATTGCAAATACATATACAATATGTAATATATAATGTGATTTTTATACATATATATATAATGACACACATACATCTTATTTACTGGCCAATATGGTGCTTTTGTCTTCTCCAAGACAATATTTTCAGGTAACTGTAGAACTTGCTTTTGATTCTTTGCCTCCGAGCCATAAAACGAACCAGTGTCATGACGTGACTTTGCAAATGAACTGGATTCTTCACAATTGTTAAAAAAATCCCTGCATAGAACAGGAGACAAGTGCAGTAGCCCTTAGGCTTGCAGTTCTTTATATGCATTCAGGACATGAGCAATCATGGCTCTTCACAACTTCCTTCTGTCCATCTAGCATTCAATATGTCATGTGAGTGTCAAAATATCCTTTTTCCTCATTTTATGTCCCAGAAATTGACAGAACGAAAGACGGCTTACAGCTATATCATGTTGAAGCATCAGTTGTCCATATGATTACCAAAGTTCAGCAATGTCGAGCCTGGCCAGTGCTTTGATTGGTGACTGCTTGGAAATACCAGGTGCTGTAAGCTTGGATGTGTGGGTGGTGCACTGGATAATGGCTTGAAATGAGAAATCGGGGAGCCAAGTTCTATATCCCGTTTGTTTTGATATATTCACTTTTGTGGAAATACCCTTGGAAAAAGTGAATACATCTCTTCTTCCCTCAGCTGTGGGTTAATTAGTAAGGCTTATATCACTAAATCATTATTATCTCAAAAAAAGCTCCTAAAATCTAAAAATATTTTCTGGCTTTAAATAACATGAAAAGGGTTGATAAGCTGTAAAAAAAAAATTAATCAACAGAGAAAAGAACATTTATAAACAGAATCAGGAAAAGATAGCTGAAATTCCGTGAACATATATGTAGGAAGGACGGCTTGGAAAACTTAACACTCACAAGACATACTGACAGCAAGAGAGAGAAAGCTAGAGAACCACTTATATGATGAGTTTGTGGAAGTGGATGATGGAATTGGGGTGGGAGACTTAGTAAATGGAAATGGAAAAAAAAAACTGCTAAGGTCAATAAAAGATAGTAAGTTGTGAAGAGCCATGATCGCCTATGCCCTGAAGAGCTGGAGCACATAGAAAAGACTGTTGAGATATTGTTAAATTAGCCAACCAAATATGGCAATTTTTGTCTTTGCTTTTTTTTCATCCATGATTTCAAATTTTATTTTATTTTATTTAGTCTTAGTAGATGATGTAAATGGACGTTGAAAATGGACACAAATAGAGAGAAAGTTATTTCATTTTTCCCTAATTTGAGACTTTATGGGGTTAGGAAGTTATCTTTTCTGGATGAGTTGTTTATCTTAAGACAATGTCCGTTCCCACCATATATCAGTATAATCGATTTGGATTGATATTGGCCTTGTGTGATGACTAAAAGAAAATACAGAAAGTGTTGAAAAATACAAAATAAATCTTTATATATCACAATATAATAATAATGCAGAATGATAAGGTGAAAGTTGAAGTTCCAAGAGTTCAAGTGTAAAAGTCCTCACACATTAGAGTGATGAAGAGAAACAGAAAAGTCTGTGTGGAAATAAACAAATATATGTATATATGTATCCAAATATAGTAGACACTGCTAGACAATTTGAATGAAGAAGGTATATATGTTTTCAAATGTATGAAGCCATTTTAGCTGTCTAAATTCACCAGTTAATGGTGCAAATATATTTTTTCTCTGGGTATGTTATGCTGAGCACAGCATTGGGGAATGGACAAAATTAGTAAATAAATAATGAATTTTAGAATATTCCATACTTTTCACTTAATATGCAACAAGTTTCTTAAATTATTATTAAGAAATTATTTATTTCTTATAAAAACACAATTTTTTTTTATTTATTTGCCTACAAAAATATCAGTTATTCTGTAAATAAACAATGGCAAAAAAATTAAAATAATACCTTAGCAGGGTTACTCAATGTTGCCCATATGGTAGTTAGGAGGTTATCAGTTACAGATAAGTTGTTTATTTTATGACAACATCAGTTCCCATTCTATATTTGGATATGATTTGGGTGTATATTGGGTTTGCATAATGAATAAAAGACAATGCAGAAAGTATTGAAAAATACAAAATAAATCTATACATAACACAATATAATAATACTGAAGGATAAGATGAAAGTCGATGTTTCAAGAGTTCAAGCGTAAAAGCCCTAGTGCGTAAAAGAAAGAGAAACAGTCTATGAGAAAGTAAATATGTATATCTATATGTATGTATTCAAATGTAGTAACTATCTAAGGTCACCATCTAGTCTTGCAAATGTCATATTTTGTCTATTGGTATGTTACAGTGAGGTGGATTCATACCTTTCCAAAGGTATCTGTTTCCTGATTTTGTTTATATGTGTTCTTTGTTTCTGTTGATTGATCGATTCATTCATTTTTTATGACTTATCAACACTTTTCAGGTTATTTAAAGCCAGAAAATATTTTTAGATTTTAAAATTTTTTTTTGAAATAATAATGATTTAATGATACAAGTCTTACTAAAAGTCCTGGCACATTAGAGCAATAAAAAGAAATGGGGAAGAAGAGGTGTGTTCGTATCTTTCCAAAGGGTATTTGGACATAAGTGAATATAATGAACCCAACTGGAATTTGAACTCAACTCTCTGAGCTTTCATTCTGAGTCTTTATCTATTGCACCCTGAACACATCCAAGCTTACAGCACCTGGTATTCCTAAGTGGTCACCCATCTAGATACTGACTAGGTTCAATAATGCTTAACTGACGATCAGATGAGAACCAGTGTTTCATTTTTATATGACTGTAATCTGAATTCTTGAGTAAAAAATTAAGCAACACAAGTATTGGTCAAAATACTAAGTTGCTTATAAAAATAAAATCATGTAATGTTATTTGAGAGAGAATGAGGAGAGAGAAAAATAATATTAAAGTGGGAGGAGAAGTGAAAGTAAGAAGATGAAAAAAAAAAAAATTAAAAGAAAAAAGAAAGACAGGGAGAAGAAAAGACAAAGAAAAAGAGAGGAATAAAGAAAGAGAAAAGAGAGGTGGAGAGAAAGAAAAGAGGAAAAGAATAGGAGGAAGGAGAATATAAAATTAAGCAATCTGAGCTCTGGTCAAAATCCTAAATTGCTTATAAAAAAATAAAATCATGTGATTTTATTTGACAGATAATGAAGAGAGAGAGAGAGTAAATATTAAAGGGAGAAAAGTGAAAAAGAAAGAAAGAGACAGACAGCTAGAGGAAAAAGAGAAAGAAAAAGGAAGGGTATAAAGAAAGAAAAAGTGAGAGATGGAGAGAAAGAAAAGAAGGAAAAAGAAGGAGATAAGCAAAGGGAGGGAGAGAGAAAGAGATTGAATGTGAAAGAGAGAAAGAGAAGGAGAATATAAAATTAAGAAATCCTAAGTTACTTATAAAAAAAAATCATCTGATGTTATCTGACGGACAATGATGACAGAGAAAAACTAAATATTAAAGGAGGAGTAAATGTGAAAGCAAGAAGGTGAAAGGGATAAAAAAATAAAGACAGAAGGAAGAAAAGAGAGAAAAGGCAGTGAGAAGAGGAGAGAAATAAAGAGGGAAGAGAAAGAAAGGTATAAAGAAAGAGAAATTGATAGATAGAAAGAAAAAGAAAAAAAAAGAGAGAGATGGGAGAGAAATGGTGAAAAGAGGAGGAGAATATAAAGGGGAGAAAAAAAAAAAAAAAACAATCAGACAGGAAAGAGAATTAAGGAATCGGTTGTCTGCAAAGGAAATTGAAATTCCTTTAAGCATTGTCTGTGAGCTGGTGCCAATGGCTATCCAATCAATAAGTGCTGTTGGTAAGGCGATGGCGGCAAGGCTATATTCTTGAACTCTGATTCTTCTAACCATGGACAAATGTGTTTAATTATTAGTGCTTTATTTAAAAGCATATTTATTCTTGTAAAAATAACATTTAGACTCTATTCTGGCTATAAAGTTTCACTTTGATTGAAAAATAATAGAGATGTTGGGCTTCATGAGATATGCTAAGAGAGATCAAGAAGAAAAAAAAACACAGAAATCATTAACATACACTTATTTTTTTTATTAATGTTCACCATATACAAAGACCTAAATAATGCACCTCGGCTTGCTGTAATGGTTAGGAAGCTTATCTTGCTAAAATATTTAAAACTAAAGAGTGAGTTTGATCCTCACTGGGAACCCCATACATTCTGCCTAAGTTATGCTACACTTAGAAAATCAATATATGGGCACTTCAATGTGGTGTAATGGTTAGCAATCTTGTCTCGCTTGGTCAGTTACAACTGAATAGGGAGTTTGATTCTCACTGGGTACCCCATACTTTTGACCTTGTGCCACATCTAAGCTACATTTAGAAAATCAATATATGGGCACTTCAATGTGGTGTAATAGTTACCAAGCTTGTCTTGCTTGGTCAGTTACGTCTGAGTAATGAGTTTGATTCTCACTGGGTGCCCCATACATTCAGCCTTGTGCCACATCTAAGCTATGCTTAGAAAATCATTTGGGCACCTCAAGATAGTGTAATAGTTGTCTCGTTAGAACAATTACGACTAAGTAGTGAGTTCGATCCTCACTGGGTGGCCCTCTACTTGTGCCACATCTAAGCTATGCTTGAAAAATCACTATACAAAACCCAAGAGCCACTCAAGGTAGAGGATTACTGAAAGATTTTGTTGTGTGAACAGAACATTAAGTACTAGGAATCACAGCTTATGAAAATATGAAGGAAAGATCATTTTTAACCCTAGACTTCAACAGGTTAAGATTATAGTGATTGGTGAAACATGCTCTTGGGAGTCAGTTCCACAAAAATGGAGGTTTGTGGCAAGAAGCTGTTCAAGTAGGTCTTACTTCTTACCAATAGAATATGAAGAAATTGAGGTTAGAACTGGAGGTACTAAGGAATATAGTGCATTGGAACATTTTTCATGGAAATAGTGATAGAGTAACAAGAGACTTAGCAACATTTTGTTCATGGGAAAAGGGATTGTTAGGTGGAAAATAATTCATCACCCACAAACTTTCCATGACTTTATCGAAACTGGAAAGTGAAGACTGCCCAGTTTTAGTCCAGATATCCAGATACTCTATTTTCAGCCTGATCTGGCTCTTGTAAAGGTTGAGGATAGCAGGAGGAGTCAGGTACTTACTGGAGCGGTACAAAGAATTGACCATTTTTCCAGGATCTTTAACAATGTATTGTATGAATTCCACTTGAGGTCAAGGATGAACCTATATCCACATAGGCATTCAAGGCAAAGGTCCTCCTTAAGAGAACACATATTCATTGTCATAAACAAAAATCTGGTGCCTGCTTGGTGATGATGGAACATTACTAGTTTGGGTTTTTAAAAATAGTGTTTATTCTTGTGAAATTTTTTAAAGCATAGGGAGGACTATAACCTTGTCAGATTATGTTGTTGCAGTTCAGTAACAAGTGAATTTTTTTAGTTTGCTTACCCAGTACACATGATAGACAGCCTTACAGTACGAAAAGGCTCAAACTGTTCTATTATTTGAGAATAAAAGAATGAATAGTAGTCATGCCTTTCTTGAGGGCATTTGTGTAAAGTGAACGCAAGCTGTTGCATGCAGAGTTTGAACTTTACTGTTTTTTATGCCATGAATTATTATGCCAACCACAGATGAGTTCTATTCTTTACTACCACTAATTCAGACCTTTATAACTAGGACACACCATGCCACTTCCACAGAATTGAATCATCCTCATTTCCCCTGTATTCCAAATCTAAGGAGAAAGTTTCACCCAGATAAATGTTTCTCAAAAACTGCTGTGTTTTGGAACAGACTGTCACGTGGATGTATTTATCAACACAACAATCTTAACCACTTCAATTCAAGGGGCAATTGTTATTTATCCTCCTTATTCTCATGAAATTCACTTCCTACCATTTCCTCTTTCATCCATATCACATCACACATTCATCAGTAACTTTCTAAATTGAGCAACTCTTGAGCCTTGTATCAGGTGAACTTTAGTGTAAAAAAAGATCTAATGATGTTGGCTTGGCTAATAAATTAGTTTGGTTTGGTTTGGTTTGTTTTATGGCATACCAACCTCAATGGATTATTTTATGCCAATAAGATTTTTATTGCTGGCAATATTTTTATTTTTTTCAAAAATATATTGCTGGTAATATTTTTTTTGAAATATGTACTGCTGGTAAAAACTTTTGCAAAATGTTTTGCTGGTATTAAAACCTATTTTTATATTTTAATGGTGTTTTGACCCCTTTTGGATTGTTAACTATTTGCCCATAACTAGGACCCTGACAGGTGCTACCACCCCAGGTCAGGGTGGATCTGGAAACACCAGCAATTAAGAGGTGGTTCCACGCTCCTGAAAACCTCCTAATGAAAGGCCTTGCTGTCAGATGTAGTTTATCATCTTACCCAGGACATGGATGTATTTTATTGTCATACTCAGGACGATTGGCTAATAAAACTGTCCTTTGAAACATTATTGCTTGTCATGTGATGTCTAATTTTATTATCATCAAAACATTTTTCCACTTTTTGATGCTTTATTTCCTGAATATCTCGAAGACTATAATTGATTCATTGTGTCATTAATAGAAAATATTTGATCAGAACAAAGATTGTATTGTTTTTAAAGAGGCTTTCAAAGACAATAGATATTTGCACATAATTTTATTCAGCCATATATATGCCATTTTGTTCCACTACCTTTTACCATCTTCAAAGCAGCTTCATGATTCCAGAATTGGCATCTTTCTAGATGAAGAACTGATCTAAGTGATTTTTTACAGGCTTCCAGAAAATTGATTTCATTAAGAGAATTTTGTAGAAATCAAAATGTTATATACCATACCTATGAACACTAATGGGTATGTCCCAATCCTGGACACTATTGTAAGTGGGGGTAATATGCTGTCTAAGTAGTCCACCATTAGCAGTGGTTTACCTACTTCACGTCGCTGACGATTATTGTATTTTTGTTGATGTTATAAAGATTGCCATTTCATTTCCAACCTCTGTTTTGGTTATTCCTCATTCAGTAACCCTTTCTACAACACAAAATAAGTTTTAATCTGAAGGTTCAAGGTCAGGTGCATTTGGTGGGTGTAGTAGGACATCCCAGCCAAGCCAAGCTGTACCAGTTTATATTGGGTTTGTAAAGAGATATGAGGTCTGCCATTGTCCTGATGGAAGCTGATATCATTTCTGGATGCTTTTTACCAACTTCTGTCTTTAATCAGTTCAATTCAAAAGGAACTTATTTGAATTCAATGTCAGATTTTGTGGAAGGAGCTCAAAATATATAATGCATTTCAATCCAAGATGAACAGCATCAGCTTCTTTGGATGTAGAGGTTTTTTTTTCCTCCAAGAGGTTTTTCACCAAAATTGTAAACAATCCATTTTTTCATTGCCTGTGATCATTCTTTTTTCAAAAAAAATTTGTTTCTGTTGCATTTGATCAGAGATAATTACTGATAAAAAAAAAGTCCATTAAACTGTAAGGCACCCAAACATTATAGTTTTTTCAGGGGGTTTTTTAACATTAAAGTTCACCCTGTACAAAGTCCAGGACCACACAAAGCAGAGGGTTACATTAGGAGGCAGTTTGTATGGATAAGTGGGAAAGATAATGGTCAACTTTAGATGTAAACAGGTTAAGATTGTAGTGACTGAGGAAACATCCTCTTGGGAGTTGGTTCCACAGAGCAGCTTTGTTATTTCACACTGATGGAATACAGAGGGAATGGGGATGGTTTTTTTGCAATGCAAGTGGAATGG